GTATATCTTTGGGAAAATGTGTACTCAAAGCTTTTGCCCATTTTTAACTAGGGTTGTTTGTCTTCTATTATTGAATTGTAAGAGCTCTTTATATACTTGGGTCCCTTGCTATACATATGATTTGCAAGTATTTTCTCCCACCTGGGGGTATCCTTTCACTTTCTTGATGATGTCCTTTGATATTTGTGTATTTTTTTTTTATATTTGGGCATTTTTAACACCACTGTTTTAGTACTTGTGGTTTTTCCACTAGACACTATGTAGTTAAGAGCTCTAAAGTTAGAAGGCTGAGACTTAATTTTGACTCAGCTGCTTTGTGGGTACTTTAGGCAAGTTTCTTAATATTTTTTAAACCTTAGTTTCCTTCTCTTTAGAATAGGGAGGAGTGTCAGATCCACGTCATAGGGTTGTTGTAAGGATTAAATTGGAAAATGGGGGCGGGGGAAGTCTTGGCATATAGGAGGCCCTCCACGGGTGGTACTTACTGTGTTCCATGTATCCAGGCCACCGTTAACATTCATCTTCCTTCTCCTTTCCTCTTCCTCTCTTTGTCTTTTCTTTTCTCTTTCCCTCCTTTTTAAGCCTTCTCCCTAACAGATGCCCTGGGCTCCACTAGAGCTGGTTTGCCCCCAGGGGTGGCCCTTGATGCCAAGAGTCTACTGATCCCTCATCTGGAATTTGTTTTCGCTAATCTTTGGGATTCCTGAACAGGATGGCCTCCAGCGGATGCCAAACAGAGAAATCTGAGCCATGAATTTGTACCTAGTATTACATTTCACTCCCTTAGATAGCCTGCCAGGGCTGGAAGAGGCTGCTGAGTGAGGGGCATGCAGAGCTGGGGTACAGGTGAGGGTTTCCCAGAGAGCTGGGTTCCTGGGTTCAGGCTCACCCCCCTCCTACAGCCCTGAAGCTCAGATTTCCCATCTGCCAATCAGATAGAACAATATCTCCTTCCTATGTCTCTCAGGCCAACAAAACAGTCAGGGATATTTAGAAGATACTGTCATTTTAAAATGCTCAGGGGGCACCAGGGTGGCTCAGTCGGTGAAACATCAGACTCGGGATCACAGCTCAGGTCTTACCTCAGGGTTGTGGGTTTGAGCCCTGTGTTGGGCTCCACGTGGAGCCTACTTAAAAAAAATATAAATAAATATAAATGTAAAATGCTTAGCAGGAAGAAATGTGGGATTCGTGGGGAATTCCTCCCTTTGGATCTGGATCACAGAGTATCTGACTTCAATTAGGCAAATATTTATTAATATCATCTACTCGTTCAGTCTTTGGGACATTCCTGGACATGACACTTACTGTCTGTCTTAGGATTCTTGACTTTTTTTTTTTTTAAGATTTTATTTATTTACTTGTCAGAGAGAGAGAGAGAGAGCACAAGCAGGGGGAGCAGCAGAGGGAGAAGCAAGCTCCCTCCTGAGCAAGGAGCCCAACGTGGGACTCGATCCCAGGACCCTGGGATCATGACCCAAGCCAGAGGCAGACACTTAACCGACTGAGCCACCCAGCCGCCCTGGGATTCTTGACTCTTTATTGAAATACAACATACATACAGAAAAGAGCACAAGTCATAAAAATACAGCTTGATGACACACCCAGGTATTTAGCACCTCATCAAGAAACACAGCATGACCAGCCCCCAGAAGCTCCGTCTTTGCTCCTGACAGTTCTGCCCTCACCCCATCCCCCCAAGGGAACCCACTCTCCAATCAAACACTTGGTTGTAAATGGCAGAAACTGAAGTCACGCTGGCTTGATGAAAAATGGAGCATTTTCCCTAACTGGGCAGTCCATGAGTGAATCTTGTCCAGCTGGATCCAGATGCTACCAGCTGCTCACGGGTTCTCAGACTTTCCTTCCCTGTTCAGTTGTCTTCAGTGTTGGCTTTACACCCAGGCAGTTTCCCTCTTCCCTGCAGAGCTACAAAAATCCTGGGATTGGACTTGGGGCAGATGTCCATTGCTAAGCCCATCGCTTGGTTGGGGGATAGTGTATGGAATATAGAGATGACCCAGGCTTGAGACACCTGACTCCCTAAGAACCACGAAGTGGGCGGTCAGCCCCATGCAAACCACATGTACTTTGTGTGAGTGAGGGTGGTTCCTCAAAAACAAATCTAGAGGCCGTTAGCAGAATAAGGAGGAACAAGAACCGAGTGGACCCAAGCAAACCCTGTCTAGTGCAACAACCTGTTGCAGGACTGAGCCCCACACCGGGTGCCTGGGAACAGACACATTCATTTGCAAAACTGCCAGTCTTGACCCTCAGGTTGCTCACAGGCAAGAAGGGGAGGCAAAGTGTCACTCAGGGCAGAGTGATACATGCCTTGAAAGAGGCACAGGTGAGGTGTCTTAGGAGGAAGCTGAGATGCCTCCTGGGGGGAGTCAGGGCTGGACACTTACAGCAGAGCAGAGGAGAACATGGAGTAATAATTCCAGATGATCTGACACAAAGGGCGCTGGGGGGAATTATGGGAAGTGAGGTTGGAAAGCGGAAGGTTGCTGAGTAGGAGAATGACAGGATTAAATACAGCGTAGGCAGCTCTGGTGGCTCTATGCAGTATGAAATGCAGGGAGACTGGCTGGGGGATTTTTCCAGAATCCAGGAGAGAAATATGCATGCCAGGACTAGCATGACCCTACTGGCACTGGATAGTTGGGCCACTCACTTAGACCACCATCTGCTCCCTTGGCCACTTCATGGGTGGGTCTTTGAGGTTCCTAGCTAGATTGTGAGCCCTGCTAGGGTATCAGAGTTGGACGTTCACTGTTTGACCTCCCGGATTGATCCTCTTGATTTCTTTTGTCTGTTTTCCGTCTTTTATCCATCACTGATCTTTTTGTTCTACCTTCTCTACTTCTTCAATTTATCTTTCAACCCTACAATTTAATCTTTAGGGCAACTTAACTCCAGGGAAAACAAAGGGTTATACAACAAAGGAAATGTGCTCCTAGCGCACTGTGTGCTTCAGCTCTTCTACAAATGATCCGCACTCGTCCTCGAGTTCCAGTAATAGGATCAGATGTCAGTTCCGTACTGTGTTAAGTCACCTAAGAAAATCTCTGGTTTCCCCGGAGGGCTGGTAGCAACACATCGGTGGCCTACAGTCAAGATCCTCCCTAGCCAGGAAAGAGCTGGGCTGGCCATGGCAGCTGTGTTTGGGCCAAAGACCAGGGTTGAGTGCTCTGCAGGGATTTCCCAGGAATGGGAGAGGCCAGCTGACTGTAATCGGAACGTGCCAGGAACTTAAGAGACGGAAGTCCTGAGTTGGGGGTCCCACTGCCTGCCCTCCACCCACTCTGGCAGCCTCCGGATAAGTGGGATCTGCTCACGATTTCGACCTGGCTTCTCCTGTTGGTGACACGAGCAGGGGAGGGTCTTCAAGGGGAGCAAAGGCCATGAAAGCAAGGAGGAAACTTTCAGGCCCCTACCTTCCAAAGCAGCTCTTCCTTGAGATTGTGGCAAGAGCAAGCAACAGGTGCAAGGAGGGAAAAACTCTGGGACCTCGGGGTGCGTGAGCTTGGCTCAGTGTCCCCTTCAGTCTGCCGGACAAGTGTGATATTCTTAAGATCTATTAAAGGACCCGGGGGTGGACTCAGGAGATGCTGGGATTGCAGATGTAGGTGACCTCAGGGTGTCTCATCGGGTGGACACCTTCCCTGGTGCCTCCTCTCCCAGCACAGCACCCCCAGCAGGAGCACGGGGTGGATGTATGGCACTAGCAAGCCCTCCCTCATCTGTGTTGGTAGCAGCTTCTTCGTGACAAGCCCAAGAGGCTCAATGTTACCATCCAAATTTTACAGAAGAGGAAAACAGCCTTGGAGATGTCAAGTCATTTGCCCCAAGTTTCAGAGCTCCTAAGTGGCATCAGAGGGCTCATGGCAGTCCATTCTCCACCCAGCAGGGGACACCATCAGTTCACACCCACTTGGAAAAATGTGCTCAGGGGCTGGGCGGCTCTGTTCCCACCTGCAGGGAACTTTCTGTCCGTCTGGGAATGCAAAGCCCTCCCACTGTCAGGCTATCTTCTCCTGTGAGGCTCTGACCCAGCCTCCCTCCTGCTCTCAGGCCCTGAAAAACCTGCAGGCATCTTCCATGGATTGGGATTGAGGTGGGCAGCTCTCCCAGCAGCCCTGGGCTACAGTGAGTAACCTCAGCGTGGAAAAGGCCAAATGGTGGCCCGGAGCCTGACTGCCGTCACCTCTCCCTATACTGCTTTCTTCTGCACATTCCCACAGCTCCAGAAGGGTACCCTCCCTCTGCAGTTCATGCGTCTTGTAGCACTTTACTTCCTGTAGATAGCAACATTTGGTGTGCTTTGTCTATGTTATTTATTTACTTTTTAATAATGAAAGCTGAATCGGCTTGTTTAAAAGAAGTCAGACAACAGAAGCACAAGGGCAAGTTATCAGTTACCGAAGTTACGACGTGCCCCGCCCCCCAGGCTCATTCCATTACTCCAGTACCAATATTAATCCCCTTTTTACAGATGGGTAAACTGAGTTACAGACAGATTAATCGTTTGGTCCAGGATCACAGGCTAGGCAGTGGCTGAGCCTGGTGAGGGAGTCAAATCACCCACCAAGCTGTTGAGCTAAACAACCCAAACTTGTCTGCCTGAAAGGAATTCTGAAACAAAAGGTGGGAATTCTGTTTTAAAAATAATATTTCCCTCTCCAGGAAAAAAAAAAAAAAAGAGAGAAAGACGGGGGAGGGGAAGAGAGAGGGAGGCGGTGAGGACGAACATACATTTCCCACAGCATTCTGCAGCTGGCCTTTTGCTCTGCGTAGACTAGATCTTGGCTGATGGCTTAAAGTCATATTCTCGGGAGAGTGCCCAACTGAGACGGCCATAGTCCGGGGAGGCCCCCACAAGTCGGGTGGTCGAGTCCGGGGTGGGGGTGGGGGGCTGCTCCCTGCAAGCGCCGGGCAGGCGCTCGGGTGTGGCAGGGCGAGGGGGCCCGCGGTCCCTAACGACTGCGCTCTCCTCCCGCAGGCCCCCAGCCGGAGGCATGTGGCTGCCGCGCATCTCCAGCACGGCGGTGACCGTGCTCCTGCTGGCGCAGACTGGCATCCTGCTTTTCCTGGTCTCCTGGCCCAGGCCGCCGTCCCCAGCGGTCGGCAAAGAGCGGGTGCACGTGCTGGTGCTGTCCTCGTGGCGCTCGGGCTCGTCCTTCGTGGGCCAGCTCTTCAGCCAGCACCCCGACGTCTTTTACCTGATGGAGCCCGGGTGGCACGTGTGGACCACCCTGTCGCAGGGGAGCGCGCCGGCGCTGCACATGGCCGTGCGCGACGTGGTGCGCTCCGTCTTCCTGTGCGACCTGGACGTGTTCGACGCCTACCTGCCCTGGCGCCGCAACCTGTCGGACCTCTTCCAGTACGCGGTGAGCCGCGCGCTGTGCTCGCCGCCCGCCTGCAGCGCCTTCCCGCGCGGCGCCATCAGCAGCGAAGCGGTGTGCAAGCCGCTGTGCGCGCGGCAGCCCTTTAGCCTGGCCCAGGAGGCCTGTCGCGCCTACAGCCACGTGGTGCTCAAGGAGGTGCGCTTCTTCAACCTGCAGGTGCTCTACCAGCTGCTCAACGACCCCGCGCTCAACCTGCACATCGTGCACCTGGTGCGCGACCCGCGGGCCGTGCTGCGCTCGCGCGAGCAGACGGCCAAAGCGCTGGCGCGCGACAACGGGATCGTACTGGGCACCAATGGCACGTGGGTGGAGGCGGATCCCGGCCTGCGCGTGGTGCGCGAGGTGTGCCGCAGCCACGTGCGCATCGCCGAGGCCGCCACGCAGAAGCCGCCGCCCTTCCTGCAAGGCCGGTACCGCCTGGTGCGTTTCGAGGATCTGGCGCGGGCGCCGCTGCCCGAGATCCGCGCGCTCTACGCCTTCGCGGGCCTGAGCCTCACGCCGCAGCTCGAGGCCTGGATCCACAACATCACGCACGGGGCGGGGCCCGGCGCGCGCCGCGAGGCCTTCAAGACCTCGTCCAGGGACGCGGTCAATGTCTCCCAGGCCTGGCGCCACGCACTGCCCTTCGCCAAGATCCGCCGCGTGCAGGAGCTGTGTGCTGGCGCGCTGCAGCTGCTGGGCTACCGGCCCGTCGCCTCCGAGAGCGAGCAGCGCGACCTCGCCCTGGACCTGGTGCTGCCGCGCGGCCCTAGCAGCTTCAGCTGGGCGTCATCCACTGCAGCACACCCCTAACCTTAGCGGAGGCCCCCAGTTGTGGCGCTGGGGAGGGAGCCAGGCACACGGTGCGCAGGAGCTTGGGAGTCCTCCTCTGTAGTATGAATGGACTGAGTCCCCAAAGCTCCATGTTTCTTCTTGCTTCTGAATTTTCTTTTGAGTCCTCCTTAGCAGCTGGGTTCCCATCAGGTGCACACTTCATCGAAAGCAAAGCTGTGTCCACACTTCCTCTGGGCACAGGGAGTAATTTCAGACCACTTGGCTGCTCCTCGAGCCCTTTCTTCCTCGGTCTCTTTTCCTTTTGGTTGCATTATCCAGCAGCTGAGGAGGAGGTCCCAGCCCTGCCTGGGAGCAGAGAAGAGGCACTGTGGTGAGCTGGCCCCTGAAGTCTGTATGCCACCCCCACCCCCACCCCTGCCAACACCCGCCCCCCCACACACACACGCATTCCCGACTTTGGTCCCCCCATGTCCCACCACCACACTCTATCGGAGATGTTGGCGTTTATATTCACTCGTTTCTTTCAGAAAGAAATCAGACAAGATGCCTCTTCTCTTGTGGTCTCCCTGTAGCGTCTCTGCCCCATCTGCTGGGAGCCCACATACCCGCATCACCTGCCCAGCTTATTGGGGTGAACGTTTGATTTGTCTTGACAGTAACGATCCTACCTACATAAATAGACATAATAATCTTGTGATACTGGACTTTACAGTCTGTATAGTTTGACAAGCAAAATGCAAAACTGAAGGGGCTTGTCCAAGGTCACACGATAGGACGAAGGGAGGAGGGGGGTTTTGCTCTGAGGCTACAGTTGCAGGGAGAGGGTGAATCAGGCTGGCAAGAGCCCTGTCTCCGTCATGAAGGAAGGTCAGATTTTTCCCATCTGTTTGCACGAGGGAAGAGCAAGCGGCCATGACTGGGGCCGCAGCTGCGGGATACAGGTGGTGATGAGGTGTCTGGGCCCAGAGTGCAGAACCTTAGAGAACCTCCCGTAAAAGCCTGGAGGGAGGCAATGAGGGGGAAAGGTAGAGGGAGAAAGGAAGAAGGGTGGGGGGAGCTCTCAGAACCTCGGGGAAGAACAGGGACACAGAATTGAACACACAAAAACTTTGGGGCATGGAGTTGGTGCCGGGACTGACAGTTGTCAGCATGAGTGTGCCCATTACCTCTGGAAATGAGTGGGCTGCCTCCCTCTGGCCATCAGTTGCTAGAAGGGATATTCTGGAGGTTGGTAGCTTCTTTTTCTCAGCCCAAGTGCGGCCTTGGATTGGTGGGACCTCGATTGTGGGCCCCCATCCTTGCTGCAGAGCAGGAGCTCACCCTCTCCCTCTGCTCCTTCCCCTGGTCCTGCTCAAGCTCTCTCTCAAATAAATAAATAAATCTTTTTTAAAAAGATTTTTCATTTATTTATTTGACACAGAGAGAGAGAGCACAAGCAGGGGGAGCAGCAGGCAGGGGAGAAGCAGGCTCCCCGCTGAACAAAGAGCCGGATGCGGGGCTTGATCCCAGGATTCTGGGGTCATGACCTGAGCTGAAGGCAGCTGCTTAACTGACTGAGCCACCCCGGCACCCCAAATAAAATCTTTAATAAAAAAAACCCCTGATTTTATCAATGGGGACTCTGCAACTTGGAAAGGCTCAGATCACATAGCTTCATGTATGAGATAGACCTCAAACTCACATCTCTCACTTCAGTGCTTAACAGTTCTAACTGAACTGGGAATGAAGTAAAGGATCCCACTACAGGCTTGGAAAGCCAGATCACTTCCCGCAGTAATGACAGGGATCTCGAGGTGTGAGGGAGCGAGCCATCCTGGCATTTCGCTGGCATTTGGCTGCAAACATCTCAAGGACCGGAATGTTGAAGGGTATGGTATGCGGTAGGCTGGGGCACTGGGGCCCCTGCTGTTGACTCCTTTTCTCTCTGCCTGCCGTCCCTGTGCTGGCCGCTGGGGATAAAAGGAGCCTGCTGGTCTGCCCGGAAGTGTCAGGTGGAGGAGTCAGCCTCGGAATGGTGCTGGACAATGTGGTATGTTCAGGCAAAGAGGATCAAGCAAGAGGTTCGTGGTGCCAGAGGCCAAGAATAGAAGACACTGATCCCCTGTGGGGTCCAGGAAGGCTTAGCCTGATAGTGGCATCACACAAGTTCCATTTGCCCCTGCTCCAGTCACAGATTGTATTGATGGCCACAATTAATGGTCTTTGCTGTGTGATTCATCCATTCTGGCTGGACCTCCCAGTTCCCAGAAAGCTCCCAGAAAGGGGATAACAGGCTCCCAGACTTCGCTCCCTGCATATAATGGACTCTGGGAAAGCCTCTGGGTAAGTTCCCTGGCATATTTACTTCAAAGCAAGCCTGGAGGTGAGCCCAAATCAGGTTTCAGGACAAGGACAGGCAGTACCCAATTGAGTACTTCAATGAGTCAGGCCAGTACAGACCCTGGGGACATACTGGGGGACAGAGCAGTCACAGACCTTGCCCTTGTGGGGAGGGCAGACCCAAAATAAATAGTCCCACAGATAAACATGCAAACATAAAATGTCAATTATGCTCTAAAGAAGAAATAAGAATAGGGAGAGGATGACCTACTTTAGTATGGGGGGTCAGGAGGCCCTCTTTGGAGAGGAAGCATTGATTTGAATACATGAAGGATGAACAGGAGCTCATCAAGCACTGGGTGAAGAAAAGGAGCCAGAGAAAGAATGAGGGATTGGTCCGCTTGGAATCGAATTTCCTTGACAAAATTAAAAACTCACTCCTGGGAATTTAGGGTCATGAGATGAGAGAAGCCCTCAAGAGGTGACCAAGTTTGTGTGACTCTAGTAAAGATTGCTAGAAGTAGAAATGCTGGATCAAAGAGCATGTCTTTAAATGTGAAACTGCCAAATTAAAGACGGAGTAACAACTTATACCCTCCAGAATAGGGTCAAGAATGCCCTTCCCATCCCTCTCTGACTAACCACCCCCACCCCACCACCATCACCTGTACAGGGCAAATCAGTCCTTTAATTTTTACCCACCTGATGGAATATTATTCCGTGCTAAAAAGAAATGAGCTATCAAGCCATGAAAAGACATGGAGGAAACTGAAATGTCTATTACTAAGTGGGGAAAAAAAAAAGCCAATGTGAAGAAGTTACATCCTGTACAATTCCAACTATATGACATTCTGGAAAAGGCAAAACCATGGAGACAGTAAAAACATTAGTGGTGGGGCACCTGGGTGGCTCAGTCGTTAAGCGTCTGCCTTCGGCTCAGGTGATGATCCCAGGGTCCTGGGATCGGGCCCCACATCGGGCTCCCTGCTCCACGGGAAGCCTGCTTCTCCCTCTCCCACTCCCCCTGTTTGTATTCCCTCTCTCGCTGTGTCTCTCTCTCTCAAATAAATAAAATCTTTAAAAAAAATAAAAAGATTAGTGGTTGCCAGGGAATGGGGAGGGGAGGGATGAATAGATGGAACACAGGGTTTTGGGGGCAATGAAAATACTCTCTACGAAACTATAGTGATGGGGATATGTCATTAACTATTTGTCCAAAACCGTAGAATGTACAGCACCAAAAGCAAACTCTGAGGTACGCTAAGGACTTTAGGTGATTATGATGTGTGCATGTAGGTTCATTGTTGGTAACAAATGTACACCTCTGGTGAGTGATGTTGTTAATGGGGGAGGCCATGAATGTGTGAGGGCAGGAGGTGTATGTACCTCTCTCTCATTTTTGTTATAAACCTAAAACTGTTCTAAAAAAGTTAAATCTTTTAAAAAAACTGCAGTAAAAGCCTTGGTAGCCTCCGGAGGGTGTGAGAGCCCGCCAAAATGAGACGGTTTGGCCAACCACACAGAGACTGAAGCAATCACCTCGGACTGGGCTTTGAATTTTCCTGGGATGGCAAGTCCTTCAGCCAACCGAGGGCTTTGTCCTTTGGGGTTAAGACTAGAGAACCTGGTTGGCCCTATAGTTCTGGTGCCATTCCGATCCCAGTCTCCAAGTCCTCTCGACCTCCATTCATTTGTTCAACATCCATAATGAATTGAGGACTGACCAGTGCAAAAGTAGAGCATAATCACTGCGATTAGGAACGTATGTGCATAGGGGTGTGAGTTGCAATTTTTAATGGGGTGATCAGGGTAGGTCTTCATGAGAAAGTGACATTTGAGCAAAGTCTTAAAGGAAGTGAGGCAGTTAATTAAGGGGTAACTACAGGTAGAGTGTCCCAGAGAAGGAAAAAGACAATACAGAAATCATAAGGAGGGAACCAATTTGGTATATTGAAAAAACAGCAAGGGGCTAGTGGGTCTGGTGCGGTGGGCCAAAGGAAGAGTGCCAGGAGATGAGAAGGTAAGAGAGAGGGGGTCAGATCATGTAGGACTTCGTAGGCTTTGGTATGGACTTGGGCTTTTACTTGGAATGGGATAGAGGGTGTCCAAGGCCACTCTTGCTCTGTGGAACTCCTTTGTCAAACAAACAAATGTGCATATAATATCATATATGTGTATAATATGTTAGATATCTTAAAAATAATAGAAGTACCCAGTTAAATATTTCATTACAATATCACTGCCTATGTTAATATCCTGAATTAGTGTACTGTTTTGCAAGTTTTTAAACTGGATTTAAATTAATCACCTGGGGGCACCTGGCTGGCTCAGTTGAAAGAGCATGTGACTCTCTATCTTAGGCTCATGAGTTCGAGCCCCACACTGAGTGTAGAGATTACTTACATAAAAAATAAAACTTAAAAAAATTAATCACACTGTGGCCTTCTTCTGCAACTTAGATTTCCTCCTCACCTTTATATTCCTGGGACTTAACATGTTGCTTGCCTTTTAAGTCATTTATTTCTACTACTGAATAGTATTTTATTGAAAATTACATCACAGTTTTTGGGGCACCTGGGTGGCTCAGTCGGTTGAGCGTCTGCCTTCAGCTCAGGTCATTATCCCAGGGTCCTGGGATGGAGCCCCGCGTCGGGCTCACTGCTCATCAGGAAGCCTGCTTCTTCTCCCTCTCCCGCTCC